GTCTTTTCCAACCCTTATGATTCTATGATCAGAATTCAAAGATGTTGTTTTTCTTAAGGCCTTGTTTTCACTGCAAATGCCCCTTAGGGCAGGCAAGAAGTTGTTTATATTTTTCTACTACTTAAAACTTACTTTACAGGTATTCACAGTTTTACACAGAAGATGAATTCTGCCACTACAACATGTTTAATCATTATTTTTTTGGTGGAGAGGTAAGCCCAAGTATTTATTGAGTGCTTTGTAAAGAAGTACATGTTGTTGATGAAGAATTTTGTAATAAAGTCGTGGGTAGTCTAGAAGACAACTATCATGAGATAAAAATAGTCAACAGTAGTGGAAATCAAGGAATAACTGCCTTTTCAGTAACTCTCTCCAACTTGATTAAAAGATAAAGTTGCCTATTATATTTATGCAAACTAATGTTACACACCTTAACTGCTGCTTTTATTAAAATGGCAATTTGGTGTGATTTGTCGCCTTGTGTAAGTCTTCGTTAGCCCTGTTCTTGTGTTGCAACAACAGAGTTAGTTGTTTTATTCCCAGCCTTCACAAGCCCAATGGATGCCATGGGACTTGTTCACTGGTGCTTGAGGTGGGAGGGAAGAGGAGGTTTTCCTACTTTTTTCCAGGCAAGCAAGGTCAAAAGGTTAAACTTGTCGTCATAAAATGAGGTTGAATTAGTGTCATGGTTGAAAAAATCCTGAATTTCTTGTTTCTTTTTAAATGTCACTTTAGGTGCTTAATTTTGGGTTCATTAGGACACCTGCAGCTGCATTAGGACATTTATTGTAGCTTTTTACAGACAATATCAGTGTAATTCAATTCCAAACAATTTCCAGCGTTGATCCCAATAGCATACCCTTTGCTCTTCCCCTGCCGCCACTGATTTGCATAAACGTTATTTTAATACCTTTCACACTAGATAGATAATTTTCTGATTTTTTCTTTTCTAAAGCCTAATTTTGTATGAGATCTTGGAAATAAAAATAATCATGTAGAATGAAATGGGAGGCTGGTCTGAAAGCCTTGCCTTTGATTTTTATTTTTTTTTAATCCATTACTGCATCCAAGTTTTGTATTTTTCAATTAAAACAAAAGACTGTTCATCTGCATTAGAAACACGGTAGTGTTGTTTTCAAGATGTGAAATGGTGTCACCTGTAATGAGACTGCATTGCAGCATGTTCAAGGACTGAATTGCAGCACCTGCGAATGCATATTAGTGTTAAAAATCTTGTTTTGGAATGCGATAGAATCTACGTAATAGATGCGAGAACACTGCAAGATGGCAGTGAATACGTAACTTTTTACATTTCCTTTAATAATAGAATCCACCTTGGATTGCTAAAATTCGAACACTATATATTTTTATAACTAAACATGTATTGAATCTGTTTTCAGTGGACTGAATTTTTTCTTGCTGCTTTAGGAATGCTTTGCAGAATAAAACTAAAGGACATGAATAAAATGTGTTCTGAGCCTGAACTTTGCTTTCTTGCTATGAATAACATATTTTTGTCAAGTTAAATCTTGGACCCCTAGAAAGAAGACCATCTTAGGAAACTTGAACTGCATCTGCCCTTGATACCTCTAACTGAACAGGGTACTTGTTTTCAGTGCTTCAAATCTAGTTGTTTGTTTGTTTTTTTTTAAATGCTACACAAGAGGAAATAACGTACATCTTCAAAATTGAAACTTCTAAAAAAATCATTCTATTGCCAAATGCAATATTTTGACAGTTCTTGAATCTATATTTCTGCAAGTTAACCCCTGCTTCTTACAGGCTGCACGTGAAACCTGTAGGAAATTCTTGTGTCAAGACAGTGGTGAAAAAGTTATTATGGTAACTGATCCCCCATTTGGAGGTTTAGTGGAAGCACTGGCTTCTAGTTTTAAAAAACTGATGTCAATGTGGAAGGAGACAGAGAAGGAAGGTATGTATTACCACCAGATAGGTGGGTTGAGCTGTAACACCACTGTAAGAAAATGTACCTCTTTAAAAGTCTGTGATTCTTGCTACCCAGGTGAATGTGAACACGCTCTTGTTATTATTTTGAAAGATAAACTGCCATATATATAATATACTCTCCTGATAATTTTAGTTTAGTAAGACCCAATTCTCCAAATCTTTCTTAAAAATTTTTACGAATTGTTTAAAAATTTACTTTGCAATTAAAATGGACTTTAAAGGTAGAGAAGAAGAAGCTATCAAACCAGTACCATTTCTTAGCAACATAGGCAGGGGACAGGAGTTGTTAGTTAAGTGGAGCTTAACAGCTCCACACTTACAAAAAATGTACCAAAACTTTCTGTCACCTGTAGGAACTTATTCTTATGCCCAGGATGATGTACATGTACATGTTTATCAATTTACTGTAAATTTTACATGCTTGTACCTTGTTTTTCTTTAATGTACATCTAAGTCTTTTCATTACTAGGTCATAACAACCAAGAGATGCCCATGTTCTGGATATTTCCATACTTCTTTGAGTCTCGTATTCTGGAATTTTTCCCAAGCTTCAGTATGATGGATTACCAGGTATAACTGAACCCAGTGAATCTGCTGCATTTCAGTTGTGTGCAATGTGAACAGGAATATGAATGAAAGCAGATATAATCATGGCACTTGTCTGTAGATGGGCCTCCTTCTTGAACTTCATTTTTGACTGCACTGGAGACACTGCAAACCCTGTGGTGCTCATCATATGAACCCCAGATTCTGTATTTGTATTAGTTATACCTTTGATAACCTTTTCACACTCTTACAGTTTATTGCATACATTTAACTCATCTGTCATCTATCCATGAACTCATTTCTTCTGCCAGGTTTTCAGTGTGACAAAATTTGCACTAATTTTGACAGATGCATATTACAGAGGTGAAAGGTAACTTGAAGAAAAGTGTTTCATTTTTTGTAGTTGTTGAAATGTCAGTAGCTTAGTGGGTAATGCCCAGTCCTGGTAAAAAAATAAAAATAAAAATTAAGGTCTTTAATCTCCAAAACTGCTGGGACCGGAGTAGAATTACAGCAATGGAAATTTTTGGAATTGTGTAATAAATGTTATCAGTGATAAAGCAGTAATCTGGCATCAGCTTTTCCAATATTGTATCCATTCTGTAAATTGTTTAAGAACGTGTACATCAGTGACTTTTGAGAGACCATTCATGGGTATTCATGATGTTAAAGTTTTATTTTCTCATATGGCAGCTCTGCATAATGTTTGACATGGGTGTTTTGAACAACATATTTGTATCTTGTAGAACAGAAATCTGTGGAAGAAAATTGGAAACTTGTGCTAGGCTAGACTTTGCATTGCTGCTGGTGTTCAGAGATGAGAATTTTTGTGACAACTCTCTGAAGGCAGTGCTGGAAAAGCAGGGCTCATTGGAGTTGCAGCTTTGTAATTATTCTGAGATAGCTCGAAATGCACATCAGCTCTTGTACTGCCACGTAGACAAACAGTGTTCTATGTTTTTAATAGGCTGCTCTTTTGTAGAAGAAACAACTGCAATCTTATCTCAGATATCCCATGGAAAAGAGCAAAAAAGGATGAGTAAAATAGGATTATTGTGGGGTTGGGAATGTAGTTTCTTGAGTGTAACCCGATGTTATGGTTGCACAAATTTAAAAATAAATGAGACAAAATACTTGGTGTAGAATTTGTAACTTAATTTGGGGTTAAAGTCTTTTATATAAAAAAAGAAAATTTCATAAGGCACATATAAAGATTGTAATTGTGTAAATAGTTCTGTCTGTGCTTAGCATTCAGTTTAAGACTCTTTTTCTATGGTTTTATTTTTCTAGGTAGACTATGATAATCATGCACTTTATAAACATGGCAAGACAGGTCGTAGACAGTCCCCTGTCCGTATCTTCACGAACCTCCCCCCAAGTATGATTGTACTTCCTGCAGAAGAGGGTTATAGGTAAGATCTGTTAATGCTCAAGTGACAGAGCGTGCTTGTTCTTAATTAGGGTATCAAGTCTCTAAAGGACTTTGGCATGGTGCTGTTGAGTATTGTCATGCCTAACTTTTGGATGCCAGGCTCAAGAGCACATTTCTCTGTCTCATTTGAAGGTTGCATGTTCTCTAAGCAGTGTGTAGGAGACCTGGGCACCTAAAAAAGACATTTATGTTTTCCAGTGTGGGATGATGAGATCCCTGAGCTAGTCCATAGGAAATGTTGTGTATGCCTATGAGATACAGAGATTTGCAGCTATCCCTGATAATCGGCTTGGTTGAGGCAGTAGTTAATAAAATGAACACTAAGAGAAGCATCAAGGACAAAGGAATGGATTTGATTTGATTTACTGCTGATAGTGTTGCTAATTTGAATTCAAGCAGCTGTATTTTACTATTTAAATGTACTGTGTCTAAATGAATATAAGGCTGTGGGTCTACGTGGTGACTTTATGCATCAAAAACATCATATTTAATTTGGCAAAGTGATTTTGCAATCCTTATATTTATTGTTGAGCTTGTATGAAATTCATTTGTATTGCTCCTTGAGCAAATAATGGACCAATGCATTTATAATTTTTTTCCAGGTTTTGCCATATATGTCAGCGATATGTTAGTTCTGGTAACCAGCACTGTGAGATATGTGATTCATGTACGTCTAAAGTAAGTATTTTGACTTTTTTTCTGGATAGAAGTTTTAGCAGTAGTCAAATAATAACTTCTGTAATTTTTGCTCAGGTAAAAATCTATTCTGATACTGATTTCCCTTGGAAACCCCAGACAGTTCAGTTTTATTGTTAACTTCACAGGACATAGTTCATAACCCACTAGGAATTAATTCCTGTTTCCCTTATTCCTTTTTGTTGGAAAGAGGACAGGGAAAGTTTGCTACTTGCCACTTGCACCAGACCATGTTCATCACTGGCCTGTTGACACATTTCTTCTTATGTGGCAGGTTCTACAACTTCTGAAAGCTTCAAAATGCAGCCATTTTGCTGTGGTTGTCTCAGGACTATTGTTTTTAAGTTACAATACTTCCTACAGAGGACTTGTTTCTGTAAATAGTAGGGGACCATAAATCAGCAGTTCAGTTTTAAGATAGAATCGGTGTTTTTTTAAAACAAACAGTGCATTTATTCATCTTTTGTAGGATGGTAGACGATGGAAACATTGTGTTCTTTGCAAAAGATGTGTAAAACCCTGTAAGTACAGAAAAATACTTTTCTAAATCAAAGTTACTTGATTTAAGTTACTGTTTAACTTACTGTTTAAGCTATAGTTCCAAAGAAACTGAGATGACAAACCAGAAGAGAAAACATTCTGTAAAAGAAATAAAATTTAATTGTTCAGAAGACATAGGTTAAAGGAAAAATCTGAATTTCACACAGGTTGCCATTCAATATCTTAGGTATATTTGCACTCTGTGGAAATTTGATACATTCTTGCCAAGGCATACTGAATCCCATTTATGTTTGTTATGGGGAAACTTGAATATTTTGATTTGTCATGTAAGTGTTTCCTAATTTTATAAACTTTTTTCATCATAATTTTATAAACAAATAGGCAATCACTCAAATATTTGTAAGGGCATGATCAAGCTATGTTTCATACACAAATGCAGTTGTATTTATAGCTGTGTTTAAATAGCTGAAGCAATAATTTTTTTTTACTGATACAGAAATTGCAAAATGTAAGTCCATTTTAACGTCTGGACTATTTTTCATGTTAAGATCACATACAGGATAATAGTTGTAATCACAAAATATTTCAGTTATATTGAAATAGTTACACAGTATATCTAACAAAGAAGTACCAGTCTGCCTTTTGAAATGCAGTAAGGGACCAGAAACTGACTACAGCCACCTCCATAAACATAAAACAAAATTTCAAACCTGGTAATGTAGCCTGTATCTAAAGCCTAGTTTCAGAATGATCATTCTAAAACTTTTCAAGATCATAAATTGTGTTACTTATTTTGCAGCGTGGTTTCACTGTAATAGTTGCAACTGCTGCGCTCTTCCAAACCACACCTGTGAGAAGACTGATGCTGGCTGTTTTGTCTGTGGCAAGGCAGGTCACAAACGCAGTGCCTGTCCCAGTCTCTCCCACACCAGAACAGCTTCCCAGTAAGTGTGATATTGCATTAATGTAATAAGCCATAGCGTTCAGATGAGATTAGATCTTTTTTCATGGAAAGATATGGACCTGTTGGAGCGAGTCCAGAGGAGGGCCACAAAAGTGGTCAGAGGGATGGAACACCTCTCCTGTGAAGAAAGGTGGAGAGAGTTGGGGTTGTTCAGCCTGAAGAGAAGGCAGATGCTACTGCAGCCTTTCAGTACTTAAAGGGGGCCTATAAAAAAGACAAGGACAGACTTTTTAGTAGGGCCAGTAGCAATAGGACAAGGGATAATGGTTTTAAACTAAAAGAAGGTAGATTCAGACTAGATATAAGGAAGAAATTTTTTATGATGAGGGTGGTGAAACACTGGAACAGGTTGCCCAGAGGGGTGGTAGATGCCCCGTGCCTGGAAATATTCAAGCTCAGATTGGGTGGGGCTCTGAGCAACCTGATCTAGTTGAAGATGTCCCTGCTCATTGCAGGGAGGGTTGGACTAGATGACCTTCAAAGGTCCCTTCCAACCCACACTATTCTATGATTTAGAAAGAAACAATTTTTGGCTTTGGGTGCTGTCGTCAGCTTTCACTATTGTCCAGTGTATTACTGGGGAGTATACACTGGAGGAGGTTATGATAAAAAATAGGCAGGTCACTTCCTGTGGCTTTTCTTTCAAAACTGATTTATATGGATCCCAAATGTGGTGACTGGTGCATGGGATAGCTCTGTCAAGAAGATTCAAAATTAAAATAATGAAACACTTTTATCCCCTTAGATTCCTCATGAAAGGGCAGAGCAAGGAGTCATTACACTGTTTTTATTGATTCCTGTATGTTTTGCTTTGTTGTGGCGGCATCTTCTTTTTACCTTCTGGTATTTCAGGTGCTCTCTGTAGTACAATCTAGTTCTCCACCATGTAAGATCTGTATTAATGAGGATCACGTTAAGTATTTTTATTCTGTCATCATTGTGCTTCTGTAACATACACGAGCATGTACTTCTATGTATCAAAAGACAAAAAAAAATTGTGTGTGATGGTCTTCAGATGGAACTAACTGAACAGAGGAAAAGGGATTTGCTGAGGAGATGGTCCAGCAGGTGGTTCAGTCCTTTCGGTTTGGGACAGTTGGCCCATACTCCTCTCAGAGTGTGTTGGTTTGTTTGTGATTCTTGATTTGAATGGATGTGGCAGTGTAAATGCAAATCTTCCCTCCCAAAAAATTACCTGTGTTATATAGTGAGATTCAGATAGTTAACCTCTTGGATCGGCATCAAGAGATTCACCAGATGCCTGCTGGATGGTAGAGGACTACAGGTATATTGCTTCATGTTCTGCTGGGACATTAATCTGAGTTTTGGTTATGGAGCATTATAGGTAAAAGGTAGCAATATTTTGTTTTACATATCTCTTAAAAATTCTCTCCTTTAATTTTTTTTTCTTTGCTTAAAAAAGTAAAAAGGATGCTAATAAAAATTAGTGAAACCTCATGTGTTTCTTCTGTCAAGTAAGATATTATTCTGTCCATTGTACTGGAATAGTTTAGTTATTTCAGGCCACCAGTTATTTCTTTTGCTAATTTATTGCAGAAGATAACTTAGGTTAATTTTTCTAATAAAAACATCTGTATGCTTTATTAGTTTAAATTATTCAGTGTTTTGTGTTATGAAATGCATCCTTTGTCAGAGTCAGAAAATGATCCACTTGCTAGTTATATTTAGGTCCTGTATTTGCAGGAGTCTTTGTTGTTAAACTTGAGGTACTTTCTTCTGAGCCTTTCTGTTATATATTCATGCTTTATATATTGAGCACAACAGTCTGAGCTTTTTTGTACTTGATGAGTGGCATTTCTTATGTTTTCTACATCCATTTAAAGGTAAGTGCTGAATAAGGATGTACAGGAAAAATAATTAATGTCAGTAAAATGGACGAAACAGTTTTAGGAAGATTAAATGTCATGACATTGTAGGATGGAATGTTCATTGTATTTCTTGTGACAGTACTTTTGAGTTCGTATACTTACATGGACAGATTATTTAAAATACCAGCAAATGTAGATGTACGTTCTCCATTTTATTGTAATCTGTATGTTCCTTTTTTGCTTTACAGAGCTGGCAAAAAGCAAAGGCAAAAAACTCTAAAGAGGATAAAGATGGGGATCTGTAAAAGATCAGCTATGAAGTGTGCCATGTTCTTTAGGAAGAAAGTAAAGAATAAGAAAAAAAAAAGACATGACTTTGCTTGTTGATACTTAGTTGTTAATATTTTTTTATGGCCAGCCTTTGATTCCATTTTCTAAAAATGTTGGTGTTAACATCCACAATAAAACTTGATTGAATTAAAAGTGCCAGTTCTTTTATTACACATCATTACTTGCCCAAAAAATAAACGCTAAGAAAACCACACAGTGACCATGTGTTTGTATAATGTAACCATTTTCTGTGTTTAGGATTATCTATTTGTCTGGTTTAGTGGAAGTCTTGAAGTTAAGAGAGGAGTAATGCTGAGAGGTGAGGCATTGGTGGGTGCTGTGGTTTTGTGGTAGGTGTTGGGGGACTTGGGGCAAAGGAGGAAGAGTTTAGGTGACGGGCGGGCACAAATTGTTAGGAATGCAGGCTCTGTCAGTTCCAGCCCTTGCACAGTACACTTTGGGTTTTCTTTTAATTTTTTCTCCAAATGGCAAAAAGCCCGCTGAGGGGCGCACGGCAGCGGGGGCCTCGCCGCAGCGGGCAGGGCG